AAAAAACAGCCCATCTCTAATGGTTTGGTAATTTGGACTTGGCAAAATGAAAAAAGAAGGCTCACAAGTCTTATATTTTTTTGCGGACGGTGTGTTCCACGCGCCGTCGCGTGACGTACTTGTTCCTCGCGCGAAGCTCTTGTTCCTCGCGCGAAGCCGCCGCCGCCGCGTCGTTCCTTCTTGTTCAACTTTAGAAGTCAGTCCATGGACACGCTGAGTGTCTTGTGTGAGCGGAAAGTTCAAGTCATCCAAACCAGCAAGATCATGATCACCATTCAGAAGAATGTCCGTCAAGAATCCATATCCTTCCATTGCAATGAATCTACAAACAATATTACAAATGAGATCAACACATAAAGTACTAGTCCTATCATCATCAGCGTACAGATCAACCCAGCATGACCATCCGACCTAGCCTCAAACATAGCTACACGATGAGTACCGACAGAAGAACCCTACGTGACCTTCACACCATCAGATCGACATGAATAAACACCGAACAAATAGAGGGCATCAGGACGACATCAAGACCGTGACCATCAGATAGAGGGTAGCAGCACGACCTAGCGACACCATCAGACCTAGCGTCAACCCTAGCTACACGATGACTACCCACAGCTGAAACCTAGCGTGACCATCAGACCATCAGGGACCTATCGTGAACCCTAGCAGATGTCGGCGATGATCAACGAAGAGGAATAGATGGAAGAACGAACCTCAACGATGGAACGGCGCAGATGGGGTTTGTGTTCGTGCGATGGGAAGGAAGAACGGCCAGCCACCGGCACCGATGGGGTTTCTGCTCGCGCGAAGGGAAAGAACAACGACTGCGGCGGTCCTGGCTTCACGCGGGATAAAGGCGCGATCTGGCGCCTCGCGCGCGCGGGAGAAGGAGAAAAGACCGCTTCGTGCGCGCGGGAGAAGGATCGGCGCTGCGCGAAACACCGATGCCAAGTTGCGTTCCAGTTGGCATCTTTACCAAGTTGGGAGGATATTTGCCAAGTTGCCAAAAATGCCAAGTTCATTTGCCAAATTGTTGGAGAGCACTTTTTCTTGTTTTGCCAAATTTTTGTGGATGCCAAGTTCATTTGCCAAACTCTGACAATCGTCCGGTTTTATAGCCTGGCGACTGTTTTTGTTGACGGGCCATTTCGGCCTCACTCGGCCCACATTCACTCTGCTTTCACGTTGGCTTATCAGTTTGCTAGTGACCAGTGTCGCCGGATGTCTCTTCTAAACCCTGCTGCTCCCCCATCGCACGACCCATCGCGTTGTAGAGTTTCCTTTTTCATTCTGCTAGATCATACGGTGACTCGTTGAGTGCCATTTTCCTTTTGCAGGTTGTGTAGTGCCTTGTGCCAAACAGGGCTGTGAAGTGGCTCAATTACTGGTGTTTGGGTCGTTTCTCCGGCGATCTTTGCACCACTTCGTTTCTTCCCTAGGACATAATACGTCTAAAACACTTTATACTCGTGTTAGTCTTAGACTTGTGTTGTCATCTAAATCACCAATACATAGACTATAGCTTTTTTTTATCTTTCTTTGTTTCTTGAGCTTGTTTGTATCTTAACACTTTTCCTGGTTTAACTAATTTACTGTAGGGGCCTTGGCCCCTCCATAGTTTTAAAAAGTGATCCTGAGAACAAACAAACAATAGTAAAATTATGTAAGATGTTTGTACACAACTAGACACAACCACATAGGGGTAAATATTTTTTCCTTTCATTTTCCAATAGAGTCGCTAAAAAAAGTATTGACACTAATTCGATCACACACCATCAAGTGCATAATTGCAAGGGCCGTACACGATCGAGACACGCAACCGAGGTAGAGGTAGCTAGGTATAAATAGCGATGCTGGCTAGGGGTCGGCGAGACTAATCTGATATTTGTCAAGGAGGAGCATAGCAGGAGATGTCTAAGGATCAGCAAGGCAACTTAGAATGCCAGCAAATCTTGTGTAGAAAAGTGTTGGACACCAGGAGATTGGAAGAGTTTGAGGATAAAAAAGTGTAGTAGATTGGTTTTCAATTGATCGGAAAGATAGAGATCCCTCAATTAGCCATGATCCTGTCATATAAATAGAGGTGAGTGATCGTATCCTAGTAGCGAATACAAAATTTATTCCACACAGAATTTACAAGATTAATTTCCTGCGAGATAGAGGAGTTGCCAACAAGAAAACTCGAAATAATCTTGGACTACCAAAATCGGCTCAAACCGGTTCTAAAACTGGGGCCGAGGTTTTTTTTTTTTTTTGAAATTTGTACAAATGTCCCAAATTTGATCTTCAATTTAATTCATTTTTCCAGCTCATTTGGCTTTGTTTTTTTTTTTTTTGAAATTTGTACAAATGTCCCAAATTTGATCTTCAATTTAATTCATTTTTCCAGCTCATTTTTTACTCTCTCGATTGTATTTTGGCTGTCACACGTGACACGTCCCTTCTCAATTTGATCTGCAAAACTGGAATGTTGGGCTATTGGCCATTGGGCCCTTGCTCACGGAGCTGGCTAAACAGAGTTGTCCAGTATTACGTATCCGATCCGATCCGGTCGAGGGACACACGACACATTGGCCTTTTTTTTTTTGAAAGATTCGGATTATCCGGCTTTGATTAATAATAAGAAGAGGAGCGTAAATATCCGATTACAAGCACGAGCGGTGCTCCCCAGGACAGCCTAGGCCGCCTGGGGCTTAAGTTCAGAACTGATTACTCACTACTAGGATTAACAACAAAAAGAGGCTTCAGGGCATTACATCCCGCCATCGACCATTGCAGGGCGGTGTCTTTGATCTCCGCTAGCATGGCATGTGCCGTCTTCCTCTCCTCTCTGAACACAATTGCATTTCTGCATCTCCAGAGGCTCCACAAGGTTAGGATTGACATGGTGTGCTCCTTCCTTCCTCCTGAGCTCAGTAGTTGTTGGAAGCAATCCACCAGTTCGCTCGTGTCCTCCCAGGATGATGGCTGCATACTAGGACAAAGACTCCAGGAAGCCACAAGTTGCCATACCTTGCGAGATAAAGGGCATTCGAAGAAGAGGTGGTGCGCGGTCTCCAGGTTTCTTTCACACAATGCACAAAAATAGTTGTTCTTCCATTTGCGCAATTGCAAGCGAGCCGCTGTCCATAACCTGTATTGAAGCAGGAGCCACAAGAAGAATTTGCATTTGGCAGGTGCCCATGGTTCCCAGATCAGCCATGGAAAAGTCGAGTATGTTTGTCCAGAAAATTGAATCATGTATGCTGATCTGGTCGAGTACTGGCCTGAACTCCCAAGTGTCTAGGTGATGCCATCGTCCTCGCTGCTTTCCAAGTCGGAGCGGTGTGAATCTATGGCCCTCCAGAAATGGAAGAAATCGCTCAGGAAGTGGTGGTTCAGGTTGTACGCAATGTCGCGTACCCAAGTGTCATCTTGTAAAGCTTCTCTAACCGTCCTGTTCTTCCTTCAGCTGTGTGCGTACAAGCGCGGCCATAGGCTGGCTGGGGTCCTTCCGTCAATCCTGTTGGAATTCCAGAAGGAGGCCTTCTCTGTACTCGGCCTATATAACCTTTTTTTTAGCCACTACTACAGAATGCTTAACTGCAGCGGGCAATTTTGGTTTCCCGCGGCGGGCAAACGCGTCCGCCGCGGTGAGAAGGTCACGGTAAATCGTGAATCCACCGCGGCGGGCGCCAGTGCCCGCTGCAGTAAACCTATTAGCAGCGGCGGGCACTTTAGAACGTCCGCCACGGTAAAGCTGAGGAAAAAACAAAAAAAAACCCAAAGCCCACCGGCGAGCCCATATCCCGAGCCCGCCAGCGAGTCCAATCCCAGCCCGCAACCCTAGTGCCGCCGGGATCTTCGCATCGTCGCCGTCGTCGTCCCTGGATCCGATTGCCTCCACCTCTTCACGCCGGATCCAGTCGGCCCCGCATCGGAGAGCCACGGCCCCGCTGCCGCCGGAGATGGGCAAGACCGGCCTCTACCTCCCAGATCCACCTCCCTGTATGGAAAGAGAGAGGAAGGAAAGAGGGAGTGAGGGAGAGGAGCTAGGAGAGATGGAGAAAGAGAGTGAGGTAGAGGATACGGCGGTGCCATTACCTCGATCTTGCCCGCGCCGCCAGATCCGCCGTCGCCGGAGGTGGAGGCGGCCCGCTGTCGCCGGATCTGGGCCGTGGATCCGCTTCGACACCGGAGAAGAAGGGGAAGGAGGCAGCCAGCCCGCGCGCACCGCGCCGCCTCCGCCCGCTCGCCGCCGTGGCTCCACGCGACCTCGTCGCCGCCAGCAGCCAGCAGCCCACCGCCTCCCACGCGACCAGCCGCCCGCCCCACCGCCGCTATGGCCCAAGACGACGCCGGGGCCCTGCGCGACCAGCCGTGGCCCCTGCCGCGACGACCGCTATGGCCCTGCGCGACCCGCCGTGTGGCGCCGAACCGCGCGGCGCCTGCGCGCGCCACTCAGAAGTCGGGCGCCACCACCGCCCTCACCGACGGAGGAGAGGAAGGACGGACGGGAGGGAGGCGGTGCGACGGAAGGAGAGGGGAGGAGGTGCGCGGACGACGACGGAGAGGGTGCGGACGAAAGGAGAGGGAAGGAGGTGCGGACTTGTTCGGTCTTCGATGGGAGGGAGTGGCTGAGGCAGAAAGGGAGACTGGGAGTGAAACCCTAAAGACTACGTATTTATATGTGAAGACGGCTATCGGGCTTCGTTGGGCCTTTTGGGCCACGGCCTTAACCGAGGCGGGTCTTATAGGATGCCCGCCACGGTAAATCAATTTACTGTGGCGGACGTCTAAGACGTCCGCCTCGGAAAATAGAGTATTTTTCGAGGCGGACGTCTTAGGACGTCCGACACGGTAAATTGATTTACCGCGGCGGACAAAAATGCTCGCCACGATAAATAAAAAATGCCCGCCGCGGTAAATCGTGGGATTTACCGCAGCAGGCAAAAATAGGAGCCCGCCACGGAGTGCAAAAGTGGAACGCTGAGGCCTAGTAATTCTCTCGTCCAACAATGGCTGCTGGCGATCGCCGCCCGGCGGCAACTCTGCCGGCGGTGCTTATCCTCGTATGTGTGCTTAGCCTCGGCGTCCGGGCTCCAAATGCTCCCTGACGAGGACCCGAGTACGTATACCCGGACAGCAGGCCGAGGGAGTTCTGGTAGACTGGTACCGGCGCGGAGAAGTGATCGTCATCGATCTAGGCAACACCTACTCTTGCGTCGCCGGCTACACCGGCACCGGCAAGACGACCGACAACGACGACACCATGTTCCAGTTGTGCATCCCCTCATGGGTCGCCTTCACCGACAACGGCACTGCCCTCGTCGGCGAGGCCGCCAAGAACCACGCCGCCGCCGACCCCGAGGCCGCCATCTTCGGTTTCAAACGCTTGCTCGGGCTACGGTACCGTTTCACTAAAACCAATACATATATACTAGGTTATATATAATTGATTGATGGATTCATGATTAGTGTGTGTATCATCATTCGATCTGTTAATAATAGGCGAAACCGCTGGCACGACGAGGACATCGTGCAGGGAGCCATCCAGCGCGTGCCGTACAAGATCGGTACAAGAGACTACGACACGACGATCATCCAAGTGACGGCCAGCGATGGTTCAGTGATCAAGCAGCTCGAGTTCAGCGAGGTCGCGTCCATGGTAGTGGCTGAGCTCAAGAACAAGGCCGAGGAGTACCTAGGCCGCACGGTCGAGTACGCCGTCATGACCGTCCCATTTCATTTCGCCGAGGCGCACAGGGGCGCGGCCGAGTACGCCGGCAAGATGGCTGGGCTGGACGTCGTCTGGACGGTCACAGAGCAGACCGCCGCTGCCGACGCTCACGGTCTGCACACGAAGCTGCGCGAGCGCGGCGCCGCGCTTGTCCTGCGTGTCGGCGGCGGCACGGCCGACGCGAGCGTTTTGGTGCTCCTGGATGGCAGGTTTGAAGTCTTTCGGTATCGGGATGACCCTTTCCTTGGAGGAGACGATTTTGACGATAGGGTTGTGGAGTACTTCGCCAAGCGGATCAAGGTGAAGCATGGGGTGGATATCAGTCAGGACAGGATTGGTCTCGGCAAATTGAGGGCGCGCGGCGTGTGAGGATGCCAAGAGGGCATTGAGCAGTCAAGATCATGTCCAGGTGACTATATTGAATCCCTCGTGACGGTGTCGATTTCTCCGAGCCACTCTCACGGTCACAGTTCGAGGAACTGAATGACGATCTCTTCACCAAAGTCATGGACTTGGTGGAAAACGTCATGGTGCGAGCTGGAATAGAGAAGAGCAAGAACAAGATCAGTGAGATTGTTCTCGCAGGTGGGAGCGCCATGATACCCAAGATTCAAAGCCTCGTCAAGGACTACTTTAACGGGAGGGAGCCAAACATACGGGTGAAACCAGATGAAGTGATTGCTCTTGGAGCCGCAGTTCACGTCCATTCTCTTTAGTGACTTCATTACATTTACAGCCGAGGTTTTTGTGTCATTATGTCACATTTACACTTGAGGTTTGTTGTTACGCTTTTTAGGATTGATACACTTTTATTGTAGTTGTACATACATGGATCATAAACAAATTATAGGATTAACTGGAAATGTGTAATATTATAAGATACAACACTTACAATTCACTTATTTGGAAATACACCGTTATAATTTGTTTTTTATCTAAACTTTTCCTTCATCCTGTTTGAAATGCAGAATGCAAAATAAAGGAATGTTTTTGCGTAACTCTCAGTGTGAGAGTTAGCATTTTTATTTCTGGGTGTACGTGAATCATGATCATGGGTGCATGACAAGTATCTCGACAAGAGTCGCATCAATTTGATAAAGCTCAATGTAAATACAAGCAGCATATGACTAAGGTTTGAAATTTAAATAGTCATATGGATGTGGTAGGAATTTTATAACCATTGAGGAACATGTCGTTTTTAAATCTTTGAAAAGAAAACTCCGGGTGTCAAGTTTTTCTTAGAACTAAGTCATAGCATAATCCATTTAGCAGATCATAACTCGTAACAACTTAGAAAAGGATCATGCTTTTGCAACCCACAAGTTTCTCAAGTCTTAGGTTAAGATATTTTTAGCCAACAAACTTAAATATTGGGGAATACTAAGTTACAAACTAGGCACATGATGAATTATAAACAGAGCAACTATTCATTATTTTAATATAGGGAGAACTTAAGCATTCCTAGTCACATATGAGAGTGGAATTAATATTTTTGTTGTTTTTATCATATTTGTTTTTTTAATTGCTAGATGCTAAGAATTATAATGATGCATTTTTTTCGAATGTAAATAAAAAATAAAAACTGGAAAGAAAGAGAGGGGAGAGGGTACTTACCTTGACGACGGGGTTCCTCCCCCAAGCTTATTCTTCGCTCATGGCCCTCTTTCTTATTAGAAGCGAAACTTGGTAGATGTGTTTTATTTATTTATTTGTTATTTACTTCGTTATTATTTCTTTTTGTAACGGTTAGACTCTTGTAATCATCTGATTTCCATGCTTGGCACTTTTAGTTCAAAAGTCAAACTAAACAATTGATGAGTAGATTATATAAACTAAGCTTCATGCTTATAATAAAAAGCCTATAAACTTATAGTGTACGAAAAACTATATTTTAAATTAAGTGTTTTGGCATAGATCAAGGATGATTAAGAGATTTTTTTAACAAAAGCCAAATTTTGAGATTTTGATTAACATTTTTATTCTATACTTAGTCGAGTGATCAAAATTTATTTTAAATCAAGGTATTATTCTTGGCAAGAGTTATTCTCAAAACTAAATAGCCTTTTGTATAGAAGAAAATGTGTTTTGTAAAAAAATAACTATCAATTTACCTTCGGCAAGGGTTTACCTTTTATAGTCCGGTGAACAAGACTCTTCTCCTTTTCATTTCGTTCTAGAGGATGAAGCTTCTATTTCGGGAGAGACGGACACGGAGGCTGGTACCTTCATGCATCCTTGATGACGATGGTGTCGCAGAGCTCGAGGAAGTGTTGGAGATGCACGTTCGCGTCCTCACTTGGCAAACCATGGAACTGGTTTGCCTGCACCATCGTGATGAGGCCAAAGGCGAGCTTGAAGTTTCGGCCCCAGAAGTTGACAAATGGGTCTTGTGGGCACGCTAAGCAACGCTAGGGAACAGTAGTAGTGGGAGTGACTTGGCCATAGCGGTAGTAGCGGATGGTGCGGGTTGACTGGTCGTCTGTCATGGAGGTGGAGGTCCTGCACGGGAGAAACGGTACGGGACCGGTTCCTCCTTAGGATAACCTCCGGGTTGTCGATGAAGTTTTCCGACAGATCAAACCTGGTCATACACTATCCCTGTTTTCATCCATAACAGGAGAAAACAAGCGAAGTTAGCCTGCATAAACAATGGCTACCTTACATGCATACTATCATGAACATATCATTATGAATCTTAATCATTTATGCCTTCCCCAAGAATGGCGCCGAATGCTTGTTGGCATTTCTTAACATAATCACTAGGATTAGGTAGAGAACCTATCCCTCAAAGAATCGCGCTTTAAATGTCCTTGTGGTTTCTACTTAGGAGTATCGCTAGAGTATAGCGATATCACAAGTATTGACCTTGATAGTTTCTTAACCTTTTTAGATATTAATCAGCCAGCGCACGGAGCTATCGTTTGTAGCATTTTACCCGGTGAGTATTCGGGTATCGTTATTTATATTTTCCCAAAGGAAGGCATTGATTAAGATTCTGATATGATCATAGGTAGTAATGTTGTGCAAGCTAACCAATTGTTAATACAGGGGTAAGAAATGATAATAGAGATAGTAGACACACACGTGAGCTTTCCTCGAATGATAAATAGAAAAGAAACTGATAAAAGAATATTCCTAAGTGAGCAGGCATTAATCTAGTATAGTCATATTATGATTAGTTAATGTTCATACAATTTACATAATTAGAATTAGTGCTAAGTGTGGCATGGATCAGGAGAACATGCGTGTACTAGTCTGCCAGCAACCACCATGCCAATTTAGACTCCTACATCCCAAACGAACAGGGGGGAATGCTAAGGACGGACAGAGCTGTCACCACCTGCCGCCATCCCCTCGACTGAAGCAAGGGCCATGCAGACACCTGCCTCTCCATACCCAGACACCATGCCTACGTATACAGAGACTACCCAACTCACCCCGGGACTCCGACCCTATGGATCGACAAGTTATGAATTGGGCACACCTTGCGGTACGATGAACCACCACACCCAACTTAGCTCTAATCTTCATTATATAAGTTATATGTTTTATTAAGCACAATGTTAATGATGATACTCTCATGACACATAAACTATACACTAGTTCATATATCAAGATTATAACATCACAACTATACTCTAGTTCATAAATATGACTATAATTGGATAATGAGAGAATGAACTTGGAAGAACTCATAATTCTATTCATACCCAAAGTGGTCTTCTTCCAAGGAGTCAAGCTCTCCAAGGTAGCTTTGCCTTACTCTTCTACTAACAAGAAAGTAAAAGCTACAACTATGAATTGAAAGTGAAGATTGCTCAAGAGTGTTGTGTGTGTTGATGAGGGGGGGTCCTCCCTTCTTATACTGGTGAGTAAGGCGGTAAGAAGCCACAAGTTGCACTAGAGCACACGATGAACTGCCTCAGGGAACCGCCATCGAACCGCCAGAGAAAGGCGGTGCTAGTCTAGCCCAGCCAGGGTGTGGCCGCACCCTTGGTTCGGCCGGCCCCTGGGCTGCGCCGCCTTGCCACCACCTCTGCGTGGTGGGCTCTTGTGGACTCCAGGTGGGTACCTCTACGTGTTGGGCCTCTTTGGTGTTTATTTGCCTGATGTCCTTGTTATTTGTTTGCGCAAATATGCGTCAGAAAGCGCCTTTTGGATATGAATACATGTATTTGTGTATATGTCCTGCGAAAAATACAATTCTCCAAATACATGTGGAACTAAGTTAGAAGTAAATGCATATGTGATGTTGGTTTGCCAAATTCCCCTATCTTTGATATTAATTGACTATCGGATTTCATCGTTATTGACCGTCAACACTCATCATGGATGTCATCATTAACAGAATTGTCAGCCTCATTCATTTCAAATCCACATCGCCAGGTATGTTAGGGATAGGCACCTCATCTGCAGGAGCCTCATCTCGCTTCCTTGAAACCAAAAGCCTCATAGATTTGGTCCTCATTTGCCACAAAGATTAGCTTCACCATCACAATTCTCATTAGGCAATATAGTCAGTGTGGTCCAATCAACAACGGTTCCTTCAGCTCTACCTTCGTCAGGAGTACTACAGGTGTCAGCTAAGCCTTCTGCATTGCCTGCATTTGTGACCCCAGATTGGGCGGCTGTAGCACAAGACCCACCTTTGTTTGATCTGCTAACCACTACATTGAGCCCAGCTGCATCTTTCTCAACAACATCACAACTAACATGCATTACCTTTACGATCCATCCTACACATTATCATCTCCTAAAACTGATCACTGCTAGTAACCTTCCACTCTGTTCCACTATCAATGTCAACACCCCAAACAAGCAGTTGCTGACTAGAGCCCCAGATCATCTTGGTGGACATTTCATTTATGAAGCCATTCAGAGTGCACACTTTCCTACTGTCAAACCAAATGACATGTTCTTGAGCATCTATGACAAGCTCTAGCTCTCCATATTCGTTAACCAGAGTGTATTTATCAACGCTAACATGGATTCTAAAAGCATAGCCAGGATCAATCTTGACAATAACATTAAAATAAAACAAATCGGGAGTTAGGACAGAACCGACTCTGTAGTCTACATCACATTGGGGAGGCAATAACAAAGAAACATACCACGGGGGGCACGGAGACAACACCATGTTGTCTAATGGTGTCCTCTACATCCAAATCCTACATGAACACGCAAATCATGAACCCAGGAAGCCTAATCAAGCATTGCATTGACTCGATGAAACCCTAGCATCAGTTATCGCATCTCATCCAAAGAAGCAGCGCGTAGGGAGAAGAAGGGGGGATCCCGAAGAAGGAAGTCGATCTAACCTTGCAGGCTATGTTGCCGTCGCCATCTCCAAGCACCAACTAACTGTGGCCGCCGTCTACGCCAGCCCGCCTCGAGCTCCTACCGCCGTCGCCCGAGGAATGAAAGGGGAGGGGAGGGGGTGCGACTGAGCAGATGGGAGGGAGACGATGCGCATTAAGTGAGAGAAGGCGGGGGGCATGCTGGTCTTTTGGCGTCGGTCTTCACGGGTCAACTCTCCATTGCCACGCTGGCTGCCTAGTCTAGCTTGCCACGTCAGCCAAAATGGCAAAATATTAGGCGAGCTAATGTTTTCCGGGACTTTTTTGTAGTTGCCGTTCCAAAGCTGGTAAATGGAGAGTGAGCCACCATAAGAGTGGCAAAAAATTAGAAATCCCATCCCCTTGAATAAGTTTATCTG